TGAAATGCAAACATCCTATTCTAACCTAAGACTAGGAATTTAAATATCCAACTACCCTATGCACGCGCCACAGTCTCTAATTATGATGTCACCGTCAACCCTACGTGGGTGCGTTGCTTTTACCTGAAAAAATAATATGGCACACGGTCTGAGTATTTCGAGAAATACTCAACAAGTGACCCCACTATAGGGGCCATAATAACGCAATCACATGCAATCATGATTTAGGGACCTAACTCTTGCTCGTCTAGGGGTAGCCTCTAGTCTCGGACAAATTGGATGTGTAGTACTTCCCTACACAAGAACCACATGTGCGAGTGTGAATTCCTAGGGAGCTCGCACACTCCCTGGACTCTCTGGTCAAGTTAATTCGTAGCGACACCCAGAGGTCAGTGGAACCCCATAGTGTCATGCTCCACATGAACACCCTACTTATCATACTGTGCGTGTCTGCGCTCATCATCTTTAGGGGAAGTATCCTGATGCTTATGAATATATAATATGCATGAGGTCCCTCTAAATCCATCATATGATCTCTTCTGACACAACCCTCTAGTCTCATCTCTTTGTTACACTAAGTAACACATGTTCGTTGGATAATTATATTAAAATCATTCTCATACTCTTAGAGTAGTGTCCTACGTCGATCTAACGACATGATGCAACATGACATTCATCATCATATAGCATACTCAATATGGAAACATCATCATACTCATCATAATGTCATCAAGTGCATCAAAAATATCATGTACGTCATGCATCGAAACATAAATCATGTACATATCACATGCATTACAGCTCAAACATCATACTCATACATCAACATAACTCATTCATCATTATATACTAGTATGTGGCGTCATACAACGCTGCTCATACAACATCATAACTCATGCATCATCATAACTCATACACCATCATATACTAGTATACGACATCATACGATACCGTTCATACATCATCATATACTGGTATACGGCATCATACGATACCGTTCATACATCATCATAACTCATACATCACCATAGCTCATACATCATAATTGTAACTCATACAATTTCTAGTTTATCCTATAGTGTAAGGCCACTTACTTGGTTGGCCTTAGCCGGAGTATTCCCTAATTTAATTAATTAACGTGAGCTCTCGTTCCTCGAGAGCTGCTCCAAAGGTTGTTGGGGTTCATTTCCTATTACACCGTTCGTCACCTTTTGTTAATATTTCACAATTAAACTAATAATCCAATTAATAATGTGATATACGACTCTAAAACGACCTCAACTACCTTAATCAGGGTCGAACACAGGTTCAAGAGGGTTGGAACGGTGGAAACTGGGTTAAAAAAGCCGAGTCGAATAGCCGAGTCGTCACAATTAAACTAATGATCCTCGAGTGTATAGGTTGGTTTTGGGTTGTAGAGCGAGCGCGGGGGTTGCACACAGGTCTCGGGCTGGACTGGTCTCTAGCTTCTAGGCCGACCAATTTTGGGTCACAAGCTTACATGCTAGGCCTCGGGTTCAAATCGGGTTCGATCCGGATCCAACGGATCCTATCTTCTTCACCCAATCCCCTACGTGATTTTCCGATGGATTTTCTCTCTTCTCCCTTCGACATTTCCGACATCTTTTTTAGTCCTTTTTCTTCCCCTTCCTCTCTGCTTGCTTCTCCTCCTCTCTCCCACAAAGTTTCGTGGTCGTTGGACGTCGAGGTAGGCGAATCTCGTTTCTAAAAAAGAATCCAATTTTGAACTCCTTCTCCGATGGTGACTACGGCGACCACCACGGCGTCGATATGCTCTGAGTGGATGTTCTAAGGCCAGTGAGGGTTTTCCTAGTTGGTTTACTCGGTATTGGGGTCGAAATGGAGGTTTTCAACGTCGCTGGAAAAGATCTTCGTTTCTGGGTTCTACATCTTCTTGTGAAATTCAATTATTTCATGTAAGTCTAAAAAACAAATCAATGTGTCCAAAGCATCAGCAAAAGCCAAATATAGAGTTATGACAAATACTTGTTTAGAGTTAACTTGGCTGATGTACATTCTTCTAGACTTGAAGGTTCCACTGTCCCAATCATCATTGTTGTATTGTGATAATCAAGCAACATTACATATAGCAGTCAATTCAGTTTTCCACGAACGTGCGAAGCACATTGAAATAGATTGTCATATAATTCGAAAAAAAGTTACAAGCTAGAATTATTCAACCATATTATGTTTCAACTAAAATACCATTGGTAAATATTTGGACTGAAAACTTTGGGAAAGACACCAAAATACGAACTTTACTCCCAAATATATTAAAATTTAAATATAATACTCATGAAAACTAAGTCCAAAATATTTAGAGAATTAAACTTTTAATTAATTAGGATGTAATTATATTTGAATAAAATATTGGCAAAAATGAGGAAACAAAGTTGCTCCACTACAATCCTTTTTATAGTATAGATTAATTGATGTGCATAATAGTTTATAAAATATAAATTTAAATATGCATTACATGGAAATGATTTGATTTGATGCTTACAAACACTCCAAAATCTTTTATATCAAATAATTCAATTATCCCTTTTTTTTTTTTTTCATAAGTGAAAGTACTTTTCTTTATCCACTAAATAAAAAAAAAGTACTTTTCTTTCCACTTGGAGAAAAATAAATAAATAAATAAATTATTCTCGAAAGCCATAGTAACCTTTCTTAATTAAAAAGAAATAAAATTAAAATACCATTTTCATGGGTCTCGTTTAATTTTAATTACTATATTATAAGCACGTTTAATAAATTTAAAATTTGGTTCTGAAAGTTAGAATTTACTGAAATTGGTTAAATAATTCATTTTAATCTTTTTTTTTTCTAGTGAATCTTAAAATTGAAAAAGTATATTGTATTATTGATTTCTTTTTAATAAACTAATGTTCAGTTTTGAAATGAAGTTTTAATTTTTTAATTATTATTATTTAAAAATTACTCACAAGGTTAAAATAGTCATTTTATCATTGAAAATTAAGAGACTAAAATAAAGGTATATATATAATAAATAAATAACAAAATCCCCTAAGAGGAGAATGTGTAAAATTGTAGAATGTAATGATGGATAATATACTTTTTGAATGGATAGAAAAAAAAGACATATAATCAAATTACCTTTTTGTCCCCAAAAGTAAGAAAGAGAAAAAATAAAAATAAAACAATAAGGACCAAACTAACCTTTTCATGAAAAGTACAAGACAAAAGTGAACATTTAAAAGATGAAAGGCAAAAAAAAATTTTTTTTTAAAAAATCAAAATAAAACTCCCTAATTTACTGTATTCAAACTAAATAGTTTACACAAATAAAATAAATAAATAAATATATTTAAAAAAAAAAAAAAGATAGAAAATGTTTAACTGAAATAACAGACCACATAAGCAAGTGGGTAGATTGAAAGATAGTGAGATTACCATTAAATGTGAAAAATAACGTCATATTCATATTCATTGAATGAACGGATAACTCAAGAAAAGAAAAGAAAAGAAAGGAAGGCGTTAAAGAGTGGTGGTCCGGGATAATTGAAAATTAGGTAGGTGGGGGTTGGGGGATAATAGGTGTATGGATTGGCCTAATTGGTTGAAGTGTAGAATTAAGGTTGAATTGGATGGATGTGTTGGGGGAGGGAGATAGCAAAGCAGGCCCCCATGGCCCCCCCATGGCCCCCCCCATGGCCCCCCATGGCCCCCCATGGCCCCCTCCTCTTGATACCCATTGGCATCCGCTTGTTGATAGGACATGACGCTGAGGGCGCTGAGGGCGCTGAGGGCGCTGAGGGCAGGGCCATCCCCCATTTGGATCACATGTGCATCACAGAGATTTCAATAAAGGAACTTACCTTTTTCACCTTTCAAATTATATAATTTGTCACTCAATTTTTTAGGGAACAATCCAACCCATAAAGGAAATGCTTAGTATGATATAATTATTTCCTATCCTATTTAAGTGATTTCTAGGATTAGGTCGAAGAAGCAATCTCACTCGATTATTATCAAATCGACTGCAATCTTTTTCTGTTTGTGAAGATCCTAATCCCAACAGAGAGCGTCTTCTACTTCTGATAGGCCATGAAGATCATTCTCAACAAGTCTATAAAAAGTGATCCCATTTTTTTTTTATTGGGTCCAGATAGGGACCAAAGGTCACAATATGATGTGACTTATCATTTAAAGGAAAATTATGATTGAATCTAATTGTTATGTCAAGTGGTGCAAAACTCCCCTTTCTAAATTAAAAAGAAAGAAGAAAGTGGTTCGTTCAATTCTAAAGATAATCTTCATCGAGTATATGAAATGGTCGTTAGTGGTCCTTTAGGGAAGACGGACGTAACTATTGTCCCCCTCCAATAAATAGAAAGCAAAGTAAAGTAAAGTATGTAATTAGGTGAGATGTGAACAAACTTAATACATAACCCAAATGTAGGTGAGATATTCAATTCCAAATTACACAAAATTGGTCCCATCAAAGTTAATACACCATTTCTCCACCTCTATTTCAGTGTTAGGCAACTTTTCCAATACTACCCGAGAACGCGAGCGAAGATCCATCGATGGTACCCCAACGTCGGTCGAACGATCGAGAGCAAAACAATTTATGCATCGAACTCGTCGAATTTGAACATTCCTCGCAAACAATGTAAAAAAAAAAAAAAAATAGCAACCATGACTTGATTTTTCGCCGTACGTACAGTACTATAAGCTCTTTCATCGAGATTAAAGTCCCAGCACTACTTCCTAGGAGATCATCAAGATATTGGGAAGAGAAGACAATTTTTCATATACTGCCCAAGGACGCAAGCGAAGAGATGCCAATGGCACCCCGATGTTAGTCGAACATAAACTGGTCAGGAGCAAAAATCATTTTTGGGTGATGGACATCGATCGTAGATGTCAAAATCGTCAAATTTGAACATTCCTCACAACAATGTCAAAAAAATAACGACTGTGACTCAATTTTTTGTGTGGGTGCTTCTAAATAGTTACAAATGATCATTTGATTTATGATGAGAATGAGATACTACAACCATATGTGACAAGTGACAAATATCGTTACATCTATTCGTGTAACTTCGAAGGAAAGTATTTTCAGATAATAGACAGTAATGACATTCATCAAATAACGAGAAAAAAACAAGAACTAGAAATGGATGCTTAGATACTACAAGTTGCAGAATGCTCCTAAGGATGTCGATAATCTTATCCTCATAGGTCGATGAAGCTCGTCATTAAAGTCACGACACGAGAGATGTATATAGTATGTGACAAAGATAAGGCCTGCCTACAAAAAAAAAAAGAATTCCTCCAGACAAAGTGTATGCATATACAGTGTGTTGCTAATATTCTCTCAAGAACACATAAAACAGATAAAGCAGTCTAAGAATCCCTGCAGGCGTTTCTACTTCAATCATTCGAACATTAAAATTCAATTCTGAATACTTGACTTTATTCGTGTAACGACCTAAACCTACCGCTAGCAAATATTGTCTTCTATAGACTTTCTTTTTTGGGCTTCCCCCTCAAGGTTTTAAAACGTGTCTGCTCGAGAGAGGTTTCCACACTCTTGTAAAAAATGTTTCGTTCTCCTCCCCAATCGATGTGGGATTTCACAATCCACCCCCCCCCCCCCCCC